CACACACACACACACACACACACACACACACACACACACGGAGCGACTTATCCACGGGTTTCATACTAAAACCCTAAACCTGATCAGATCATTACTCGCTGTGGACACGGGCGAATCTGGATTTGAACCGTTTCCCAGACTCATGCTGGGTTTGATCTACGGCACTTTAACATCCAGTGAGGTTTGGCGAGGAGATAAGAGAAGAGAAGGAGAACAAGAGGAAGAAAGAGATGGAGAGAGAGAAGCATAGGAAGGAGGCCCATTCTTTGATTGCCCTCCCGTGTGTGAGCATTATACATTCTATGAGATTTATTCTCTCAGGCTCTTTTCAGGGGAGTTTAGTGCTGGGAAGTCTATTTGTCTGCTCCACTGTCCCTGACTCCAGCTGGCAGGGACATGTGCAGTATGCATGCAGCAGATTGAATTTCATTTATGCTCAGATTCAAGCACTAGTCATATCTCAGAGGCAGAGCGGCAGAAAATCTCATTGGCTGAGTGAAACCACAAAAAGCCAGTTGTACTTTTTAGGCAAAGCTAGACTGAAGTGATTCGAAAAGGAAGAGAAAAAGTAAAGAGATCGTTCTGACTGAGGCATCTAAGTTTCGCTCGTCAACTTTCTTATTCAAATGTAGGTTTTCAACCCAGGTGATTACATTTTTGTAGAAGCAATTTCAATTTCAGTAATTGTCACAGCCACTGTCAGACGTGAACTCTTGAAAATGCCTGGAAAATTGCGTCTCTGCATTTTCCAGGTTTTACATATGAAGGACGCAGCAGGGGTGGAAGACAATGTACTGATACCACTTGAAGGTTCAGTGTGTAAGATTTAGGTGAAAGGGATTTTTGGCAGAAATTGAATATAAAATAATCCTAGTGATGTGTCCGCTGGTGTTTTTCATCTTAATTGTATGAATTGTTGTTTTCTTCACCACAGAATTGGACCTTAACATTTACAAACTTTATATTTACATGGAGGGGGGGGGTCCTATCTGTGGAGGCCGCCATGTTTTTTTACTGTCGTCCAAACTGGACAAATTAAAACCTTTTGAGTTTTCATGACAACTGAAGTTCACCACAGGTTCTCCTTCATATTGGGAAGGGGAGGGTGAAAGAGGAGCTGCAACATGAAACTTCACCTCTAGATGTCACTAAATTCTAAACACTGAGCCTTTAAGTATTTTTCCTTTTTTAAAATTGGGTTACGAAGAGAAATTGGCTTTCGTTTTCATTAATGAATAATATTAAAGCAACACTATGAAACGTTTACCAAGCAACAGCGCCATCTGTACAAGCAATTAATTAGTTTTCATGAAGAGGAAAAAAAGTCTGTTAATGTGTTGAGTGGAGCTCTGACAGCGGAGTCCCTGAAACACAACTGAACACTGGATATTACCCATGATCCTCTGAACCAGAAGAGCTGCGGCTGTAACAAATCCACCAAACTCTGTGTAGAATTCTTCCTATTATAAAAGTTTCCTGCCGAATATTGTAGATAAACTCGTTAATAACTTCTAAAGTCTTTTTAGCTGATCCACAGTTCAGCTTTACTTTTTGACCTGCTGTAGCTGATTCTTGCAGTTGAAACTGTGGCTCTCAGTCCGTTCTTCTCACAGGAGATCGTACCCTCTCACCAAAGTTACACAGAGCAGACGTTCAGGCTGAAGAGTGGGAATGAAAGAGGAAACATTCTCCATATTCACTCTCACTCATCAAACTGCTGTTTTAAAGTCAAATGTTGCATAGTGTTGCTTTTACAGCGGCTCTGGACTCTGAAACAGAAGCAGCTGAACGTCATTTTATTATCTGCACATTGCTTTCCCTACTGTGACATGTAAAAATGTCTTTGTGAGAGGGCTATGCTTCGGAATGCATGTGCAGCAGATAGTTTCAGCCAGGAAATTTGAGAGAGGCCAAACAGCATGGGATGTAAAATAAAATGCTACAATAAAGCCTGTAATGAAATCAGAAACCAGCTGGATTTCAGATACTGTATATCAGCGTTATGTATCCTCTGATGGCCTTGTGGCCTCGCTGTGCTGATATGACAACAGCAAGCGGCCTTGAGCAGCGGTAGTGAGATGATCGGCGAGCATGCTAAACGTATTACTTGAGTTTACGGCTTAACGGCGGGGGGCGGGCCGGCAGGAGGACGGAGGAAACAGGAGGAGGAAGACCTGCTGTCCGTAAACACAGGAGAGTGTGCATGTGTGAGAGAGTGTGTGTCAGTGTGGGAAGAAAAAACCCCAAACTAACGTACCTGTCGGCTGCAGTTTTGTCAAGTTAACTGTTACGCTTTTCATATTTCCATCCCACATCAATCATGGTTCTTTCGGGCATTCTTGATTTATGCATTAACATCTGGATTTTCAGATATAACAGGAAGATTACAAGGAAAATAATCTCTTCTACTGGGTCCTTTTCTGTTTATTTGTGTATTATTAAAAAAATAATCTCCTGCATGTTGAGCTCTGCTTTCTCATTATAAATCTCAGTGCAGATTGGCGAGTTTTTAGAAAAGAATACAGACGCACTATTTCAGCTCCATAAATCTGCTCCTCCCTGCAGAGAGAGATGAAACTGCCTCCTGTAGAGCTGGCATGGGCAGACAGAGGGAGCCGCATATATCATATCAGCAGAACATGGACTCCTGCAGTTCAAGTTAAAGACGGACAACCTTTCAACAATCTGTGCGTGTTCATTTCTTTAGGTCTCCAATTGTCCCTGAACTGTGGGATTGAACTATATGTGTTTAACGTCATCAGAGCTAAGTCAGTTTTATCTGTGTGTATCCAGAGGTGAGGCGGGTCTACATACAGTATGAGTATGTTTAAATAAACAAACAAAAGCTTGTGATGAATTATTTATACATATTATTATTATTCTTTATAATTCACGGTGTTTGATAATGCTCTGTCATGGTCGATATTGGTAGGCTACCATTTATGCCTCCGTGGGTTGGAGCCACGTTGCAACCATTCAACGCTCACACTCCCCGTCACACAGGGGCAACACAGTCTTTAATGAGAGTGGCACACAAGCCGCAGCTTCACCACATCACACCAAGATCGATGAATTACTCTGGAAAAATCTGGCCCCAGAACCAGATCCACACTAAAATTCTATTGGGTTCTATTTTTCTTTTGTTTCATATTTTACTTATTTTGATCATTAAAGGAAATGGAAAACATTTCAACAGTCAACCGCTGCTGACCCCAACTGTGATTGTGCACCAAAAACAAAATCAGGCCTCGTCTCTCAATCTGAAATTTCATCTTGTGTGTGTGTTTGTG